GAGCCAAAGTTGGCGCTTAACCGACTGAGCCACCCAGGCACCCCAAGTATGAAGCTTGTCTTTGATTTCTGGAGGCATTAGGGTCTCTTGCTAACCCCCCACTGCGTACCTGAAATCTCGTGGTGCCGAGTCTTGCCGTAGAGGTCTGTTTTCTTGTGGTGACCCTTTGAATTTGGAAATCTGTCTCCTCTGTGCCATGTGTCCAACCTGCCATCCTTGACTAGAAATCTTGATACATTTTCTTAAAGGGAAATTGTAGCAGACCACATGTTTCCCAAAGCCTGGCATGTTATCAGTGAAATGTTGAAAAGGGTCAGGGTGATTAATTCTGGTTAAAAGTAACTAGTGTGCTGGCAACCTAAGATACAGACCGATCGACATAGCAAAGAAAAATGGCAGGGAGTGTGTTGTTTAAGCCTCTGATGACTCCGGCGTGCAGCCCAGACTTGCATCAGAGACGGAGATTTATCCGTGAGATTGTTTCACTCTTACTGAAAAGGAAGAGCGCACGGTTCCACTCACGTGATTTCAGTAGATTGAAGGTACATCCAATCAGTCCCTTGTGTCACTTTGGTCGCCGTAAGTCCCATTTGACCTCCTCAGCCTCCAGCATCAGCTGGGTCCGTAGAGCCGCTGTCCTGTAAGCTGAGCACGGGGACTTGTCCCAGATATTTTCCCCCAAGCGGCTCCCGTCGTAAACCGCGATCAGTTACTCTTTCTGTATCAGTGTAATTTTAAAAATGGGGCAAGCGTCTGCTGAAACGTGCTCTGGAAAGCGCAAGCAAGGAACGGCTGTGGCCACACGCTTCCTCTCTAGTGAACGTGGACGGCAGCCTTCATGGGGGGTTTACGTGTCTTGATGGAAGCTCAAAAAGCCGGAACGTTCCCGTGCGCCTCCTCTCAGCACCCACACCAGGCGCTTCTGTGAGCACCTGTGGGGGGCGTTAGTTCTGTTGCTCCCTCCCTGGAGGGACCTCTGTGTCACACCGACTGACCCCTCCCCCTTCAGACTCCAGCGACGAGTGCAGGCTGTCACCTGTGCGTCCGACCACTGAGCTGTAAATTGGGGGTTCCCGTGACCCCCTCCCAGATTTGGTTAGTTTGCTAACGGTTGTTCCCAAAACTAAGTAAAACATGTAACTTACCAGAGACCCAGTGTATTATAAGAGGATGTAACTTAGGGCAGCCGGACGGAAGGAATGCCCTGGGCGAGGTCTCTGGGAAGGGGCGCGGGGCTCCCACGCCCCCCACATCTCTACTTTGTCATCAGCCTGGTCGCTTTCTGAACCTCCATCCTTGTGGATTTTTGTGGAGGCATCGTTACGTAATAAGCAGGATTTTTTAAATGTTTTTATTTATTCTTGAGAGAGAGAGAGAGAGAGGCAGAGTGTGAGCAGGGGAGGG